TGTGGTTATCTCCACCGAACTGAGTAGACGGTTTAAAATAAAACAAAAGTTTGTAAGAAGTCTGTACACTATAAAGTACTGTATAGGTTTTTGTAGAATTATAATTTGCTGTTGAATCTCGATCTTTTAAAATACTAAATGCACAGTAGAGTATTAAAAGGTGCAACCGTGTTTAAAAGTACAGCTTTTAATGTCACCTTATTTATTATTGTTTTTATCAGAGATTTCTAGAGTTTCCTAGTTTAGACTATTTTACTGAGGCAGAACTCAAAACCTTTCGCTTTTTACAACTTTATCAACATTTATGTGAAAAAAATCTAATAAATCTATGCTTGTGATATTTAAAATAAATATATTTTCGGAGTTATAAAAGTATAAAAAACTTGACCAACACACGGTCTTAGTGACAATTGGCCTTTATATGTGCACTATAGGGATATAGTCTCAGTCGGTAACTCACTGGTTCTAAAAACACTTTCTGATCTGACAACATTGTCTATGTCAGGGGTGTCAAACTCAATTTCATCACGGGCCACATCAGCATTAGGGCTGCACTCAAAGGGCCGGTTGTAACTTTAAGACTATATAAAAGTACATATATAAATATATATATATAAAATAATGTATTATATTACATTATTGCCTCTGCATTGGATTATTATCTGATAGGGTAATAACTTCATAATTAACTACGTCTGAAAGCAGAAGTCTGGGGCAAATAATTGCAAGTCTCTTCAGTGAGAATATCACAAAATGATTTAAAAAGAAAAGCCACATTCTGGAAAAAAAGTCGAAATAAAAAAAAATAAGTGACATTTAGAAGAAAAAATGTAAAATTCTGAGAAAATAAGTCTAATTTGAGATGCATTGTGGGACATGTAGTTTATGGGCAACGTGCTTCTGTAAATCATCATGTAACCATATAATAAACATACAATATTCTTTGCAAGCTCTTGTGGGGCCACAGAAAATGAAGTCACGGGCCGGATTTGGCCCCCGGGCCTTGAGTTTGACACCCCTGCTCTATGTCTTAATCCAAGGAGGTAAATACACTGTATATCATAATAAACTGCGTTTATTTTTGCCTTTATTTTACAGTTCACAGGACACACGCACACAAGAGTCGAGACATATGTTGAGAAAGTGAGGGGGTGTTTAGCTGGAATTAAACCTACACACCCAACTCTAATTTAAGTAAGTAAAGTTTAAAATGTTACGTTTATAAATATCTAAACAAAAGGGGATAGAGTTGGTTTGTATCAGAAAGAACATAACAATAGCATAGCTAGTCAAATTTCAGACTTGATCTGACCAATAAAGTATTATCGTATCGTAACGTAGAAAGAAATAGAGGCTTAATTCATAAAAAGGACATATAGAAACAATAATATACCTCATGTGGGGGAGTCTATAATTACAGATTGAGACAAAACGGTCATAGTTTCTCAATGGGGGTTTAACATCTGGGCTATTTTAATGTGTTGTGAAAAGCTAATTGTTTGTTATTGTCAATGGTCTGATGATTGCAGACCAACGACGATAAACATTATTTTTCATGTTGTGCCTTTTAGGTAATTAAAATTCAAAAATCAATATGAAACACTGCGAGCGAGTTTAATAAGGCTAACAATAGAATGTAGAGTATGGTTCTTTCACACAAGAAAACGTAATCATACGTAATCAAACGTACATTATCGCCTGCAAACACGTGCATTATAAAAGTATTCGCATGAGTACATATCTAGGCCTGTGCATCTGCAGGAGGGTAAACAGTCCATCTGGCAACATATTGAGCTCTAGTTATAGACTCCAATAGTAGTATCCATATGTACTAATTAGGTCATCTTGACCCTGGTGAGGACAGGAGGGTGCAGAGCGGGGAAATGTGCCAACCTTTCTCTGCTTCGTGGTTGCCCTGCAGTCATGCAGCCATGCAGGAGATGGGCCAACACAAAAGAGGGTGATGTAAGAGCCGAATAAGCTGTGCCCTTTCGGAGGCAACACACACACACACACACACACACACACACATTGCACTCACCTATAGGTAAGGGTACAAAGAGTGTGACAATAACAACTTTTGATATTTCTTTTGTAGCTCGTAGACGAGGATCTGACTCAGAAATACTGATTAAGATGACAGGTCTTGTTGCTTCGCTTCTTGTCAGATTCTGTCAGAATTGTGTAAATGCATTTATATAAGACCGACAGAATTCAGGAGTGAAGTGCTTACAGTATATTCAGGGGTTTAGAATATACCAACATTTCGTTCTCAGGTGGATATATTGCTGAAGCTTTTTACCAAGTCAAGGAAAATAAAAAAAGATGATAGTCTTTCAAAGTAGAGCTATGATATAACAAAAAGGTTGAAAGGACAACGTTGACTAAATTAATAAATAATGTAGAGCCAGATTGCTCTTCTTTCACAGTTGACCGACTGCTCACTGCAGGTGGCCAGTTTCTCATTCTGTTCTCATTTAGAAACAACAAAATACTCTGAGACTGTTTTCATGACATCATTGTATATTAAAAAGGAGAGAGGTATCACAAAACAGTGGATTTTATTTTTACGATTAGACTGCATCGGCTATATTTGTCAACCGTCAAAGATATTGCCGAAACGCTGCATCTGTGCCTTCAATTTTCTTTGTATATTATAATGTGGGTACTTTTCTGTTGTGGTAATGCATGAAGGACATTGTTCGGATTTTATTGGATTTTTGCATCAATGTGATGACGTTTTTATTTCTTTTTTGGCATTTAATTCACTCATAAACCAAAATAATAAATATTACTGTCTGAATATTAAAAGTTATGTTTATTTGATTAATGAAGCACATCGCACATTTACAGTATAAAAGGGTCGCTCATAGTGAGTAACCCTCAGATAATTATCCCCTGATCCTGCAGTTCCCTTTGCCGAGCGTTTTACAGTAGCTGTTTTTGGTTTTACTCTTGCTGCTATCATATCATCAAAACATCAACTCTTCACCACCTGCTCAGCACCAAACAAAGAAAACAGACACAGTAAGTGATAGCTGGTAAACGATGAGAAGCGCTTAGCAGAAAAAGAGCCAAATATTTCCGGCAGGAGTGGGCTGACCGCAAAAAAGAGCCAATCGAGTGGATTTTGCGCTTACATCTCCCCAGTTGACAGACACATGATCCAACATTAAAGGTGGGGTAGGTAAGTTTGAGAAACCGGCTCGAGATACACTTTTTGTTATATTCCATGGAATGCTCTTAACATCCCGATAGCAATGAATATCTTAAGTGCTTTGACAAAAAATCCATTAAAAAATGTAATCTGGAAGCCGTAATACTGTAAAAAGCACGACCAATTATTTTATCCGGCCCGGCTAAAATAACTGGATGGCCTACCTGCCTGTCAGCCTTCCATCTGTGCACAAACTTATCTCGTGCCCTCATTGGTCATGTGCGCGTTCGTGTGTGTTGGAGGAGGGGCTCTGTAAGGAAGTGGCAGATTTTCTTCGGTTGTGTATTTTCAAATTCTAGCGATCTCGAGCCGGTTTCTCAAACTTACCTACCCTACCTTTAATGGTAGTATTTCTCTATGTGTGAATTAGTTGATAATATATCAATGTTGAGTCCACAGCTTGTTTCTGCTGCCCCTAGGCGGCCTAAAAAAACAACCGCTATTTAAAAATTAATCCAGCAAAAGTTTCTTCATCGTATTTCCAGAAAAAAATATATATTTTCCTCAATATATATAATTATATACCTATAGATGTATATATATATATATGTAATTGTATTTATATTTACCCTTTCTTAATTTCAGTGTCTACAGATATGTTTATCCGGATCCTTCCTTGAGACTACATACCGTATGAATGTATGTATCCATAAGTATGTATGTATATTGTTTATGTTAAGGTCAAGTCACTCCAGCTGTGTTTTCTATACAACAACAGTCCCAGCAGCAGGGTCCGGACTGCTCATCCTCTCGCTGCGATTTATGTATCCACTTCTTCCTCCTCCGTTGTTATTCTCTGTAGTTTTTATTTTTACAACCCATTGTTATCAAAGCTCCAGTTATTATCTTTGAAAATAAACGCAGAGCTGTCTTCAGTCACATTGGATTAGGAGCCACAACACAGGCTTCTTATGCTATTTTGGAAAGAGAGAGAGATCTCTATTGTCCATGCTGCTTTTCAAATTTTGTATGAAGGACTTTCTTGCATTTATCCGGAGATTATGATTATCTTTAGTGGGATAAAGAATAACAAATGTAACATGGCTTGAACACATGGTTTGATGGCATGTAAACACCATTGTATGGACTTTAGAGGAAGATGGATGGACACTTTTCTTGATACAGTGAAGCTTAAATGTCTGTGCTCGCCTCAGCAGAGTAAAGTTTTTCTTAATAGGTGAAAGCACTTTAAACGAGACAATGATGGAGTGGTAATGACAGGAGTGGCAAAGGACAAAGAGGAGAAGGACTTAGTATGGAGAGAGGTAGAAAATAATAGACAGGATAATGTAAAAATGTTCCCGTACAAAGGCAGTGGCTCTGTCTCCTTGAGAGCTGTCTACTCCCTCGTCTGTGAGAAACCCCACCTCCCCCTGAGCTTCTCCCCTCCCCTCACCTCCTCCTTCAGTCACTGGCCGAGGAATCCCAGGCAGCGTTTAATTGCAGAGTGCAAAAAGCTTTGGTTTGGCTAATGAGCTCAGCAGCACCGGAGCTGGGACTCTTTTAACGCAAATCTCTGAGAGACAGAAACACATATGGAGTCCTTTTTCCCGGCGGCTGGATTTTAGGTGGAAGAGAAAGGAGGAAGTCCTAAATTCAGGTACAGACGACTCTGTGAGAGAATATACCAGAGGCAGGATACGGAGTAAGAGGTGGAGTGAGAGAGAGGAGAGCGGGAGAGGGGAGGGGAGGAAACGGGAAAAACACAGTCACAGAGAGAGAGAGAGAGAGAGAGAGAGAGAGAGAGAGAGAGAGAGAGAGAGAGAGAGAGAGAGAGAGAGAGAGAGAGAGAGAGAGCGAGACTAGAAGCCTGCAGCAGCAAATGAGACAGAACAACGAGGCGGGAGAGGTAGAGAGACGGGAGGGAGGTGGAGAGGGGCCCCGTGCAGGAGAGAGGGCTACAGGGTGAGGAAGAAGGAGTAGAGAAAAAGTTAGAAGAAGTAAGAGAAAGAAGGTCCAGGAAAAGATTGGTGCAAAGATTAACAACTACAGGGGAGAAGAAGAAGAAGAAGAAGAAGAAGAAGAAGAAGAAGAAGAAGAAGAAGAAGAAGAAGAAGAAGGGAAACAACAGACAGGAAGGAAGGGGAGGTTCTGGGTAGAGAGGAGGTAAAAAAAAAAAGAGCTGAAGAAAAGTTTTTCTTGTAAGAAGACGCAGATGAGGAAAACAGAGCGAGTGAATGAGAGAGCCGAGAGGGGAGGAAACCAATTGTTTTCTAAGGCGTTTTCCACTCAAGCCTCTGGACTTCTTTGGACATGTACACAGAAGGCGCACAAACAACGGGACACCACCGGTTTCACCAGCAGCAGCACATCAACAACAACAACACAAGCCCCTGCTCCTGCCAGCACTGCGTCCTCTATGATCCGCCAGCGTTCAGCCATCACGGTGGGCCGGGATACCCACCAGCATCAGAGAGACACACGGACCACCCATCTCTGGACTGCAGGAGAGACATCCAGGCTCCTCGGGTTCAAGATGTAGGAGGGAGAGCTTTGGTGGTGGACAGAGCAGAGAAGAGCGGTCATCGCAGCCCACAGAGGAGGCCTGTGTTCGGGGGGCCGGACCCTCACAGCCAGTCACACGACTTCAGCCAAGTTTGCCCCTGGGAGCTGAACCCTGCCCAGCGGAGCTACCCTCCGGAGCCCGGGGTGAGACACTACCCGTCTGTCAGGGAACAGTGTGGCTGTGTGGGGCGCGGCGACACCAAGGCACACCCCTTTAAAGCCGGGATACCTCATCCTCTCCCACATCTTCAGGTCAAAGGTCAAGGGTACCGACACAGGAGGACGGTCCGGTACGTCTGCGTGGACGAGGAGGAGGAAAGTTATGGTTGTAAATCTGAGAACTATCATTCGGAGCCACATAATCCTCATATAGGTCATATCAAGCCGAATGGCCACTGTGGACCGAGGGCGGTGTTCTTTGAGGGAGGGGAGGAAAGAGATAGAGATCAGGACCGGAGCAGACTGAAGGGTGGATCAGAGGAGGGCTGTAATGGACGCAGTGAGTCTCACAAAGGTTTTTTCCCCACAGAAGTCCCCCAAAAACAGTTGAACCAAAGCAGGCAGAAGGGGTCCTGCGTCCCACCCTCTGGCATCACCAACCCCAGTCCTGAGCCCTCAAAACCGACCAGCGACCACCAGAGCCAGGGAGCGGAGGTGGTGAAGCAGAAGAGGAGGCAGGACTCAGTGAGAGATCAAATCAGACAAGTGGTGACAAATCTGGAGGATGTGTTGGGGGGTCTGAAGCAGGTTCACGTGGAGATGAAAGAGGTAGGAGGGTCTATTATTATGGATGTTTATTCTTTACATCAGGCGTCAGGTGCAGATCTCCCTGCCTTTTATCAAGGCTCCTCCGGATATAGTGACATTTAAAACGATCATCACAAAGCTCAGATGTCGAGATTCGGTCTGACACACGTCTGTGTTCCTGAGAGCATGCTGACTGCATTGTTTGTGACACTGTCATCATCTCTTACCGACGTGATGATTGAGAACGATTTGCTCTGACCTTTAGCAGAACGCTGCAATAATTGGCAGCGAGCCGTCCAGCACTTTAAAAAGCTTGGCTTGAGACCGTTACTAAATTGTGCCTTGCTCTTACAGTCTCCATTTTATATCCAGCTGTAAAATAGCATTGATTCACAGCTAAATGCATATGTGCAACATATAGTCAGGCAGCAACATTACGAGTTAAACAGCTTCATGAACGTGAATTAGGACAGTTGGCAACAAAAGGGTTTGAGTAGATGTGGATTAATGCTTCAACTTTAGCACAGTCAGTGACAAACATGTGGTTATAAATATACTCTGGCAGTGGTGGAAGACGTACTGAGATGTTTTACTATGCAGCAATTCAACAATGCAAAATACTCCATTACCAGTAAAAGCCCTGCATTTAGATACTGCACACAGGAGTTAGGAGCACAGAAGAATTATCACCAAAAAAAGAATAACTAATGAAAGTACTAATTCATGATTCTAGCTGTTAGTTTGTATTCATATTCTATCAACTGTAAAGCCCCCTGAGACAAATGTGTAATATTGGGCTATATAAATAAACTTTGATTGAACGATTTAAACAGCTAGATAGTTTAGTCCAGAGTTCTCCAACCAGGGGGTCGTGCCCCTCCAAAGGGTCAGGAGATAAATCCAAGGGGTTGTAAATCCATCTTTGTACATTGTTGGCAATACTTTTTGTGAAATATTGGAAAGTTGTACTTCTTTTTTAAATGACAATGAAACTTCTCTCTTTAGAGGTGAAACTTATCTTTGATAGAACTGAAAACAACAACAATTGGCTATTTCAAAAGGGGCCTTAAATTAATACTTTTTATTTTGTGTCGGGTCACAGGCCCCAAAATGTTTGGAAACACTGCTTTAAAGATTAAGAATCCTTTGTTTTGTTAAAGATTATTATGTAGAATCATAAATATAAAAATACATGATGACCATAGCTGTCAAGAGTTTGAATTGTAGTGTACGTAGAAGTCATAAGTGGATTTCATTTGAAATACCCCCAAAAGAAGAGCTCTCCATAAGTAAGTCTGGACACGTATTGACTCTCATTATTATCATTCAGGTGGTCGAGCAGATTGATCGTCTCACAGCGAGTATCGACCTCAGCGATGAGGCGCCCTGCATCACTCAGGGGACGTCCAGTAACTTATCCTCTCATCCTGGCGACCTCAGGCTGGCCCTGCTGCCCAATCACAAGCCTGCTCCGGTCCCGATGTCGCAACACGTGGAAGAAGATCGCATCATCTTAAGAACAAACTCTCCTTCTCCTGTTCACATGGCATCCGTCGTTAAAACCAGCCGCTTCACTCCACCCATCCACAATAAAGACATCAACCATGAGAGGCCAGGGTTAAATGGCCACCCGCCTCACCTGTATCCCGCCAGAGACCCCCACCATGTTGGCCAAACTCACCCTGAGCAACTCCCACACAGCCTGGACCCTAAAGTCATTATCGGGAACAGCACCTCTAATTCTAGGACTCAGAAGCCTCCTGTATACCCCCAAAATGGGCGCTGTGGGAAGGGCCCTCGTCCGAAGCCTGTGAGACCCCCTGTGTACCCCGAGAGAGGCAGGGAGAGCACCAGCATGGTGTGAGGAAGGGGGAAGTGGTCTGCCCCAGTGCCAAAGGGGGCCTGAAACATGAGACCCTGCTGCAGCGAGTGGAGGTCAGAGTGGGACCAGGCAGGGGAACAACTCATGGTGAGTTCACACACAAGAGGACTTTTCTCCCCCTCTATTTACACTGTTGATGTTTCCACCTCAGCTGATGACGTCGGCCTTGTTTACTGGCAGCGTAGTTTTCAAAGTCACTAAATGAATTGCAGTGTTTCTCCCGGGTTACAAAAAAGGGTTTATGTGCGTGTTTGATGTCTCAGTGTGTGTGTGTGATGTCTGTGTGTGGGCGGCAGCGGAGGGGGCGTAACGTGTCTGCTGTTGTTGATGTCACATGATTCTTCACCACACTGCAAAATGTGTCAGTCTGGGCTAGGGAAATGAGAAATGTGTATTTGTTTTTCAGTTGAATGACACATTTGGTTGCAATCAGCCTGGAGGGTGATAAAACTCCATATGTTGAAGTAAAGTTTAACTTTTATGAGTAGATTTAAGTTATATCTGATTTTGCAAAACAACATTACTACCAATCTTAAAACCTTAATCTCAAAATTGTATTTAAAGGTAGGGTAGGTAAGTTTGAGAAACCGGCTCGAGATCGGTAGAATTTGAAAATACACAACCGGAGAAAATCTGCCACTTCCTTATAGAGCCCCTCCTCCAACACACACGAACGCACACATGACCAATGAGGGCACGAGATAAGTTTGTGCACAGATGGAAGGCTGACAGGCAGGTAGGCCATCCAGTCATTTTAGCCGGGCCGGCTCAGATGATTGGTCGTGCTTTTTACAGTATTACGGCTTCCAGATTACATTTTTTAATGGATTTTTTGTCAAAGCACTTAAGATATTCATTGCTATCGGGATGTTAAGAGCATTCCATGGAATATAACAAAAAGTGTATCTCGAGCCGGTTTCTCAAACTTACCTACCCTACCTTTAAGTAGTTTAAAAAAGATTTTGACAACTGTTTGCATCACATAAACCTGAAAGCAAAAAGTAGGATCAAATCTCAATAGAGACTTTTTTTTTGCAGTGTGGCTTAGTCATTACTTCGAGGGAACTGAAAGTTGGCAGGAGCTCAGACGTTTTTGGCAAAGGAAGACCCCACAGCCGCTTGACTGAAATCATGTGACACAAATGAGGCGTCATTATATTTACAGGAAGATCGTAGCTTTACTTCAATTGGCTTAGTTTACGGTCAGAGGTGGATGAGGAGGAGCTTTCTTCTCGTGCCACAGAGTTAATAACAAGATGACATCTGTGAGAAAGTCCCTGCAGCAGATGTGGGGAATTAAACAGCAGATACAGTTCCTTCTAAAAGTCCACCTTTACAGAAGCTGCAGACCTGCATGTTTCTGCACTTCCCTCTTGTGCAGAGTATGCGTAACTGCAATCTATTTTTCTAGCCTGTCTGAGTTGGGCAAGCACAATCTGGTTTTAATCATAAAACCTCCTGGCCACGTGCCAGAAAAGAGTGAGGCAAACTCTTGGTATATTTGTGACGTCCATATAAACATCAGCACAGTGAAGCAGCTCCTCACTCTGTGCTGCAGCGAGAGACGCGCTTCAGGTCGAGGCTGGCAGCCAGAGAATCGGGGCGAAAAAGTGCATATGCTTGAGTTTTCATTTATAGAAAGACAAGAGTTTAATTAGTTGAAAGTGTAATGTAGCAGTTCAACACGGCACTCTCTTTTCACTTTCAAAGTCTTTCAAAGCAGCTGACATTTTAAAGGCCTGAATTATCCGAATTAATCACCCAGAGCAGATGGGGGTGGAAAAAAGGCGAGCACAACAGATGGCCACACACACACACACACACACACACACACACACACACACACACACACACACACACACACCACACACACACACACACACACACACACACACACACACACACACACACACACACACACACACACACATCACACACACCACACACACACACACACACACACACACACACACACACACACACACACACACACACACACACACACACACACACACACACACACACACACACACACACACACACACACACACACACACACACACACACACACACACACACACACACACACACACACACTAAATGTTCCCTTTGACTATCCTCTGTTTTGTGTTCAAAGGAAACTATTAAGTTCTTCTAATGAGGTTGCTATAGTTGTCTTGGGTTCATGTTCAAACACAAATGACATGGGGCAATTAACTGGATCAACATCAACAAAAATAATTGCATAAAAAGTCAAAAACAAATTACATTATAACAATTATATTTGAAGGAACATCTATTTGTTCTGAAAGTAATAATAAACTTCCTAGCCCTGTAGTTGTAAGGGATCAACAATTGCTCAGGTGTTGTTCATGGATAGACAAAGGAGAAATGGAAAAACAAATCAGCTTAAAACAAGGCTGGGTTAGGATACTGTTTAACCCCGAAGATGAAAAAGAAACTGATGCAAATTCGGATAATTATATTCAAACTAAGGCTGATACAAACTCGGTAATTGCCCCCCAGATCCCTGAGGCCTTACAAGCCCCAGCTGTGTCCGTCGAAATAATAATGGGTCCTGTGTCTTCAATTTTAAAGAGGACATATTATATACTAATTTAAGTAAGTAAGAACTCCCTCTGGGGGGAAGTTTGGGATGTTAGCCCTTGCAGACCATTGACATGCACACAAACCTTTAAAACACACTACAGGAAAGGGAATACCAAAAAAGTCATTAAAACGTCATTATTGCAGTTTATTTAGTGGCTTCACGGGGCACATTCCTGATTAGATTCCTGCTTAATAAGATTGCCACATACAAATTGGTGCACTGCAGTCTAGAGGCCAGGTCGTTTTCCTGCGTAGGAGTCCTGGATTCTGCAGCTCTGGGCTGAACGTGACACTCATGTTTATTCTGTTTTCAGGTCGGTACTTGATGGAAAAGCAACAGGTTTCACACAATAAATTAAATAAATCGGCTTATTTATTTGATTTGAATGCAGAATTGAATCCTGATGAAACACTCACAATCTGAGCAAATAAGTGACACATAGAAAATAAAGATATTTAGTTCAGATCAACATAACGATTCATGATGTTATACTTTCACTCTAGTATTTTTACTTATTGTTCTACTTTGTGCTTTGTATTCACATGATGTGATAGTATGCGTTGTGCTTCTGTTGCTGCACAATTGATTGCCTTTTGATTGCATAAAGTGAGAGTCAATAGGGGAGCGCAGCTCTTGTTTGCCGCAGGGCAGTCTGACCCAGCCCAGTCTCCTAAAAATAACATCCCATACAATGAAAAACAATAACGTTTTGAGGGAAACATATTTTATCCTAAATTATGGTCCCAGTTTTTACACACGCGGTTAAGTTTTGGCAGCAAAACTACTTAGTTACATTTATTTAAAGAGTATGGTTTGGGTTCAACGTTTTTTACGCAACTTAAAGAGGTGTGTGTTATACTCCTTTCCAGGTTGTATTTAGTGCCTCTACTGTGAAATGTCTCCATGCTTTAATGTTCAAAAGGGTCTTTATTTTTCTCATACTGCCTTTGCTGCAGCACACTCTTTTTAGCTGGCCGGCTCCGTTGTGATCAACCGCTTAGAGATGTCCCGCCCCTTAGCCAATCACGTACAATGTGTTGCAGCGCTAGCCAATAGAAGAGTCAGTGTTACATCGTGATGTCCCTATGTTACAGAAGGCTACAAAGGAGTCCAATGTTACCTTTTGTTTGAAAGTTTGAACAAGTAAAATGTGACATTAAATTCCCATCAAAATGTAATGGACAATACATTTTTTGTGTCCCTACCCTAACATGACTTTTTTGGGACGATTATATAAAAAAAAAAATCATTTTAATTTCAGAAACAAGGACCTGCATTAATGTCCTCACTCTCAAGGTCTAAAACTAACATTGTACTTTAGAAAGACAAAAGTACATAAGCAAGCACATGTGGCTCTTGATAAAATCTGGTTTACAGAGCTCCTCCACAAGTGAGGCAACATGACTCACAACGACACACACACACACACACACACACACACACACACACACACACACACACAGACATCTGGGATCACTGAGGTACAGAATCTAAATGTCTCTCTTTTTTTGTTGTTATGTTTCCAGCAGGAGCTGATGCCACTGAGAGGAGCTGTCAGCGGGAAACAGAGCACGGCCTGAAGGTGGGGATATTTCCAAAGGGAAAACTCCCCCCTAGAGTCGACCTGCGACCGTACGTCACGCAGGCACAGGAGCATGGAGGAGTGGCAGTCAAACCTCTGAGAATTTAAGCTTTACTGCTTCTGTTGAGGTAGATGCAAATATTGAGCAGGGTAAACTGTGAAGATAAGGAATCTTTTCATAGCAGTGTTTATTTATTTTACAATGTTTTTTTATTGCAAAGAAATCTATTTTCAGGCAGCTTACACTAGTCTGGATACTTAATGTATGCTATATCAAGATTTGTATCATCTAAGCTATAGTAAAGATATGTTACAAATAAAGACAGTTTTTCTCAAAGTTGAATGGTTGTTAAAGTATGTAATAAAACAATCAGCAAAGAGGCAGGGATATTCAAAAGGTAGAGATTAAATTGCAATACAACAGACTCTGCTATTTTCACACAAATCAATCTGACTTCTCAATTGAGAGGTTGCATTGACAGCTGAATGTCCCACATTTCAATAAGAAATAAAATCATTGACGCAAGCATTTCATTGCCCCTGACTCTGGTAAATTATTTATGCATTCACTTAGTCTGACATAGTAATCCCAAATGGTTGTGGATGTTGTGAAAATACTTCTCTGGCTGATCTGGAGATGGCGGTGTGAGATCTCTCATGGCCTTATTCTGTCAGGGCGTCACAGGCCAGCCCGGCCAAAGTCTGTGTTTCTGTTTGTTTAAATCTTGTCTGAGATTTTCACCACTCTGCTCTCACAAGCTGCTTCTGCTGCTATCAGAGCACACCGCTTCCCCTCTGCTACTGAAATTATCCATCCACATCACAAAACATTCCTCACTTTCTGTCTCTTTTTATCACTGCTGGAGAGCTACAGTATTGGGTCTGATGAAAGATGACAAACTGTTAACTGTTCTGACCACTTTGTCACTCACTGTCTGCATCTTATAGAGGCATACTGTTATGATGGCGAATGACAGAGGAGTTTGCAAAGAGTCGAATAAAGCGCTGAAGGTCGGGCAGATAGTTGAGGTTAAGTGTTAAAGAGCAATATCAATTGTCAAAAGCAAGATTTTAAATAAATAATGATTTTTTTCTTGGCACCCCGAGCATCCTTTTATATCATGATTCAATAATGGTATATACTAGGGCATTTTATTATTGAATAATCGTCCCATTACTTCCCATTTGAGTAATCTTTAAGAGTTTAATATGTCAGGAAATTGTGATACATTTCCTCAGTGAAACAGAAAATCAGGGCCGTCTAGGAAAACTGCTATAACTGTCCAGCTTTGGTCATAAAGAGATGCCAAGAAACATCAAGATGGATGGGGGGGAATCAACTCAGTGAACAACAGATACCAAGGATGCTGGCTGATGAAGAAGACGAAGTAAGCTAAGTAGCCAATATAAGGCTTAGTCATCTTGCCAAATAGTGAGCCTGTGTTGATGTATGAAAACTATGTTAGAACTGGTTTATAAATGGTTCTTAATGATTAATAAAGTGTTTACACCCTAATTAATAACGTAATTATAAACCCTTTATGAATCCCTTATAAGGATAGTCTTATTGTAAAGTGGTACCGAAGACTCAAATAGCTCTTATTTAAATCACAATGTCCTAAATGTTTTTTTAATTCCCTAAAAGCTAAATCCAGAGATATCTGTAGTGCTCTTTTTGGCTTTATATGCCAGTAAGCAACTGTTATAGGATTGAAAATGGCTGTATGACTGACAATGCTGTATCCAGTTCTCTTTATACATCTAAAGTTGCGGCGAGCTCACTAAATATGCTCATGGTCAAATTAATCTAACGTTCCATCAAACAACTACAGACATGCATTAAACTATTCACTTTAAATGTTATTTAACCAAAAAAAAGGTCTACATCCTCACATTTGAGAAACTGGAACCTGATAATGTTTGCTTAATAAATGCCTGAAGTGATTGACTGGACTATTAAATCATGTGCAGCATTGTATCTCTTAAAATCTGTGTTTTATTGCAAGATCAAATATTAAATATTTTTATAGCTTAGTCATGAACTGTGTCAGAAATGTTTCCATATTCCAGATTCAACATCACTCTGCGTGCTATTCATAGGAGAGGCCTGTTTTGGCAGCGAGATAAAAGTATTGTCTTAAAAAGACCTTTCCCCAAACTCTTCTATTTCTAACTCCAACTTTGAAAACAAATGTCTTGTTCAGAACGCTTTGTGAATGCCAAGTTGGAATCGGAAAAACAATCATCAATCCTCAATCCTCAGAGCGATCACTTTAAGGTCTGCAGGCCTGGATCTCAGTAATGTCTGCTGCACCTAAAGCCTCTTGGACTTTGAGAAAGGCCATGTCTCGGCCGGCTGTCCAAGTCTGAGCCTTTCTGCATACCCAGTCTATGAATCTTGTCAGACAGAAGGCACACCGTTTGAGCCCTTGGCCGTGCCGCCTTAGCAAATACAGGAATGACTCTGGAATTTCAGACAGAGATTCAGACCAAGAACAGCACTCTCTCGTTTGTCTTATCTACCCAAAAATAATACATAAGTAGGATGCTGGTAATACCACAAGTGTCAGATTCCTGTCTAGAAGAGTATTGTTTCCTGGTGTGTTTGGATTCTGGAAGGAAAACCACAACATGCTGAACAACTTCAGTCTGAGAGGCTACAACCTGATACTGACACACTGATCAGTGCTAATGAACCCAACAAACCTCAGAAAACTTTGGAAACAGGCAGGAAGACAGAAAACAACTTAAAGGAATAACGTGCAGTTCTAATTGATGGAAAGTGAATTCACTGGAAAAACAAAGAGATCAGATTTAAAATAAATGTGAAAGCCAATCGGCCTCTGAGATACAAAAGTCAGCAAAGAAATCTGAAACGTCAGTACAGAAAGTTTGTATTATTTAGCGTGGTGACATTTGTGAAAGGATCTCAAACTAGGCAATGAACTTTCCTTCTCTATCGACCAAAAAAACAAACTGAAAATCGTTGTCCATTTCACAATCAGGAATGTTGTGTCAGCCACTACCAGTTACAAGCTAGCAGGCTAACAAGCCACCAAGCTAATAAGCTAACAATCTAAGAACCAACATAAGCAAATAAAAGATGCTAACTTACCCTTCTGATACGTCTGCTGGTCGTCGATTTTGTTGCACAGCAAACTCCTCATCTGAGTCCAACATGTCTGAATCTTGTTAGCCTTATTGTACAGCTCCTTCCACAAGTCAACATAGGAGCACAACAGTAGTGGGCAGGGTGCTAGTTATATTAGCATATTTTAATATTTATATAGACAGAATTAAGAATTGAATCACACCACAGTATTTTTTTATTTAAAACAGATAAGAGGGAAGAGAAACAGCTAAGAAATAGTTGGATAATCAACACTGAAGACCTGTGAGGGAATGAGGCCTGCTTATATACTGCAAGGCTGATTAGTGAAATGGGAAGCAGGTGAGTGAGTGAGCGGGGAAGGTCACGTGATGGAAAAGGCGGGAAAAAGGGTATTGTAGGGCAGGAGGGAGCAGGAACAGCAGAGCAGACAACAGGATAAACACACTGCTTTAGATATATTATGTATCATCTTGGAAATCAAACTTACAAAGTGTTTTATAACTGGACAGAAAACAACCTTAGTAGATACTCCAAGTTGTTGTTTTTTTATTTAAAAATAAAAATGGATTACTGTGGGGTATGAACAAGATAACTTTGTACACATGATTGTCTATGAATTAAAATAAGTTTTCTAAAGTCATATAATAAATACTTGTAGAACTCACAACTAAAATAATTTAGATTTTTTTGGACTGAGTTTCCATTTAAACAGAAAAGTGCAATCCACTGTTTAAGATCAATTTGGGATTTTCTGTTTTCTTTCTGTGGACATGAAACACAATTGTAAGTAGACAATCAAACAAGAAATTCACGATTATATTAAAAAAAAAGGGTCTTACAGTGTTATTTGCCGTAAAATAAGAAACTCACTTTATTTTTGGGTTGTCACTTTAGGAGTGAACAAAACAGAACAGATTGCTTTACAGAATAATGAACACATGTGTTTGAAGTGAGTGCTGAAGAGTTTACAGAGAGTACAGTGGATCAACAATAAAAAGAAAAGCAAATTATTTGAGCCAACTCTCCAAATACCACCCAAGTCACAATACCACCCAGCTTGAGAGAGGAACACAATTCATCATGACTCCAAGATGACTGCCCTGCGTTTTGTTTCAGCGCGTTATGTATTTTTCGCACATTTACGAGGCTGTGTCTGCTGGTTGTGTAAGTGACCCCTGGGGTGAGGAAGTAGCCCAGTAAGTCTGCCCTACACGCCCTCGCTGGTCTGTGGCTGACCCCAGCGCTGTTCTTAATCTCAACGGGATGACAGAAATGCAGAGGAATTTCTCTGCTCTGTGCCTAAACCAACCTGTCAAGACGCTCTTCTTAGGCTGTGCACGTTCCTCTGTTACGTCCCCGTCGGCTCTCACGTTGCCCCGTTTTGTTGAAATATGACCTGCAAATACCAAACCCTGGCCTTAGTAACCTCTCCAAACACTGCCCACCTACGTGCAGATGCATCCGGAAAATGTCTCTCCTTGCCACAGTATGTTCAGTGTTGGCTGCAGGCAGATGGCAAAATCCCAGCCCCTCCACACCTTACCTACCTGTATGCTGGGTTGTGTGTGTTGAAGCAAAATGAGAGGTGCCAGCCTAGCACTTTTTTTCTGGTCTTTGCCAAAGCTGTTCTGTGCTTGTGTAAGGCTAACGAGAGCCTCCGTCCAGATGCTAGTGCGAAGCTCCACAGCTGAGCAAACAGTCACCGTCTTCTCTATAGCATGACATGTTTAAAATGACATGCCCGTCCAAAAAGGAGGAGACCAGCTGAGTTCTGAGGAACAAAATGAGCCAGACATTCATCACATGATCGGCTTGTTAGAACAGCTTAAAGTTCAACATCCCTTGAATTTGTATTGGCTCTTGGGCTGACAATGTTAGTCTGACTTTGAAGTGAATAAAGAACTTTGTTAAGAGAGTAAAAAGTGAATACAATCTGTATTTTTCTTTCAGCTTCAGTTGTACTTTGTGAATTTTAAATGTAAGCTTTTCCTACAGCGACCTTTTGCCAAAATAGTTACTGTCTGTAAATTGGGAAAATTCCCAGACAGGCAAGAATGGAGTTGACTGAATGGGAGATGGGGGGATTTTCCAGACACTTTCAATAACACAGACAATCTACTCTGGCAGGGAAGCACCTTTGTGACTTCAAATGTAAACCATTTCAATTGGGCTTAATCTTCCCGGTTCGCTGCTTCTTTAAGCTGAGACTCAGTGTTCTGTTTCGCTGTAAATACCCAACATCTGTGCATTAAACAGAGTATACATTGTCTGGAGCCTGTATATAAAAGGAGTGATTTGTTGGAGATAAACACATCTTTAAGTCAGGTGAAGTACTGCAACCTCCAGGGTCAATCCAATCTACGCAGTTTTTTTGCTGTTTGAAACAGTCTAGTGCTTGCTGCAAAAACACATTTGTCCTTGGTAAAAACATCTTTGAATGGAGATATTCTTTGGCGGTTTGTGTCAATCCTCCCACTCAGACGAAATATTCAGTGCTCTTGTAAACGGCTGGCTTCTTAGGCAATCCCCAAGGACGTGAATTAAGCTTAATGCAACGCTCTCTGGGCCAGAAAGGAGTTTTTTTACAGCAGCCGGGAGAGACACTTCTCTCTACTGTACATGCACAAAGGAAGAGATGGTGAGAAAAGGCCTCCATTCATGGTGCTCTGGCTGAGTTGTAGTAGATATGGCACGGCAGTATAAGATCCTGCGGCCTGTGTCTTCACAGCGGACTGTCAGCAAACATGCCGCCAGCGTCTGCTGCCGCCCTGTTTGTCTCTGAGGCCACGATCTACACGCATCTCTCAGAGTGAAGCGCTTATTTTCAACAGGACAAGGACAAAATACTGATTCAGTCCTGCACAGCACTCTGATACTTTCTTTCCACTAAGGATTCTTGATTAAAAAATGTTTGAAATAAATAAATAAGCCCTAGATATTTGGACATTTTCAAAAGAAGAAGCTTGTGGTTATCATTCAAAATATATTTGTTTTCTATAATAACAACTCCCTCTCTCCTTTTCCTTTTTATTGCAATAATTCCAGCATGCCAACATATTACAACCAACAAGGCTTTAGCAATATTAACAGTTTTACATAACAATCTTCAAATGTTTCATTCACTCAACAGCAACAGCACACATGTATAAAACATACTTCACTATGCTACCCTTACTATTCAATATAAAATTAGAAATTTGCCATTTTCTAATCTGACCACGAATAAATTTAATTCTGTATTTGTCCTATTGTCAACTAATCAAAACAGTGAGTGAATTGATCAGCACTAACACACACTGTCCTGCTACTATACATACTCACTAGCTGTTGAATAAAGTCCCTTAATAATTTAGAAAATTGCTCCTATTTTAGTAATATTTGCGAAATACTCTCAAGCCGATATGTTTAGAAATAACTATTTGTTGTGACTTCAGTGGTAACCAATGGAGTTAGGGCTAAGAGCCACAGACTCGTAGAGAAGTTACACATTAAGGGTTGACAATAACAAAAAACTGAGTATCTTATGCTTTAAATTAACTGTGAAAAATACTGATGTACACATATTAAAGGTGGGGTAGGTAATTTTGGAGAAACCAGCTCGAGTGCGCTAGAATTTGAAAATACACAACCGGAAGAAATCTGCCACTTCCTTACAGAGCCCCTTCTCCAACACACACGAACGCGCACATGACCAATGAGGGCACGAGATAAGTTTGTGCACAGATGGAAGGCTGACAGGCAGGTAGGCCATCCAGTTATTTTAGCCGGGTCGGCTAAAATGATTGGTTGTGCTTTTTACAGTACTACGGCTTCCACAGATGACATTTTTTTATTAATTTTTTGTCAAAGCACTTAAGATATTCATTGCTATCGGGATGTTAAGAGCATTCCATGGAATATAACAAAAAGTGTATCTTGAGCCGGTTTCTCAAACTTACCTACCCCACCTTTAACAGTACGAAGCAAGAAAACAAACCAGACAAAGTGGCAACAAAACACATTTCAAGAAATAAACCAGCAATCCAGAAATACATGTATATGAACACAGTACTTTAGACCAGAGAATACTTTGGTCATGATTTAAGGCACATTTGTAGCACAGTAAATCTGATCTGACTAGTTTAATGTACAAAATATGTGTAAACGTTGCATTCATTTCCATTCATGCAACACAAGACTATAGTAGTTACAATAATACTCGAGCACCAATTGCACTTTTTGATAGAGTTAAAGATTCTGTACAGTACAGGGAGAGATGTTTGCTGTTAAAATCCTGCAGATAGTACTTGAAAAGGAGGATTTCAACTCCTGAAAAAGAAAAGAAAAGGAAACATTTAAATACACAAATCCAAATTGTAAACACACAAGGCTTCATTCAGCATCTCTCAATTGTTGTCCGAATGTTTTGCCATTTCATCTTTTTATTCTAAGTTGATCTGGATAGAGAGAACATCACATGCAGCGTTCATATTAAACAGAAACAGTGGTACGGTACCTTGATAATCGGCAGTTGCGTGTCTGAACATAGATTCCTGTGTATGTGATATCACATCTCACTATGTTGTTGGTGAAGTCTGACTCCTGGACGCTGGAATTGGGGTTCACAGTAACCTGAAAATAATCAGAAACAGAAACAGTTTGAGCAGCTCTGCATGTTTCTTAGTAAAAAACATTTTTGTGGTTTTGAGAAAAATCCATAAATAACGTATTTTTTTTGCAGATGATATGATGTTCATGTGACATGTGTTACCTTTAAGATGTAGTTCCCTGGAGGCACATCAGTGATGTCGATCCACTGGCAGTCGATGTTGGCAGCGTAGACGTCATGGCATCCCGGGCTTAAGCCCTGAGAACACAACCAAAACACACTCATTGGCAACTCGTGGCTCTTGAGACGAATTTGACAAGATTTTTCCTACAAGTGCTGCAAATGAGGCACATTTGAGCTTAAGTTATACAAACAGTTCTTTGGAAGAGAAGCTGTTACAAGAAACCAGCGCTGAGCCAGAATCACAGAGCCCAGACAACAGATGAAATAAGTATTCCCAGGTCCTCAGGATGTTTTCATTCTATTTTAATGACGTTCACTGAAGTTCTACTTTAAAACATTTCTCAGCAGTGGATCTGCAGTATTTGCCAACAACTCCTAGACAGGATACTGTGCAACTCTGAGCCTAGTCAGACACTAGGTTGTGACTTAGTAAATCAAATTAAAATGACACAGTGGAAGCAGTTGTAAAACGCCTGCTGTGTCTCTGGAGAAAGTGTGAAAAGCCAGAAAAAACTACTCAAGTGGTTTCATTTGAAGAGAGTGGATTTTCAGGATGAAAAAAAAAATGTCAAGACTTCAGGATCCAACCCTATAAGTTGGTACAAACAAACTATATTCAGATCAAGAGATAACTACTCAGGTACTCACTACTACCCGTTTATTTTAACAAAAAAACCAAATCAAACATTTCCCATACGGTGAATCTGTGTTATTAACATTCTCCCTGTAATGTTTGTTATAGGCTGGCAAGTAACTTAAATGTCCAGTTTTTATGAGATTTAGTATTGAGGACAGGATACTTTACTTGGGGGAACTGCCTTCCCGTACTTTGAACCACATAACCATGCATTTTAAACCTTAAACTTTATATCTAGAGATGGCAGTGAGTGTTTCTAATTCCTTATCACTGATTGAAGATAATACAACATTTACGTCACACACTGACACTGTACTGAATAATTGTATGTTACCTGCGTGTGAGATGTACAGGCGTAGCGCCGCCTGAATCCAGGTTCACAGCCCGTGTCCTCCAGACAAAAGCTGGCTTTGTGTCCCTCGGCCACATTACGTTCAGTGACGATGTCCAGCAGGTCGTAGTTACTGAAGGCGTCCATGCTGTGGTAGTGTCTGAAGGGGTAGAACAAAACACATTAGACCGATCTGAGGGTGTCGTTTTTTTACCAGGTTCAATCACTCTCATTCTAGGTAAACTCACTGGTGACAGCTGTGCCAGTCCCACTGATATCTGGGCTTGACAGGAAGGAAGTCTGTGGTGCCTTGGTTGATCACTTTCTGGGGGAACCGCAGCAGGACTCTGAAGTCGATGTCTCTTACGCCGGGTCCATAAGCCGACCTTGGATGGATCACAGGAGAAACAGGCATAAGTGCTAATGGCTTGCTGTCAGAGTGCAAACGTTTTATTTTGCCATTGTGCCTAATGCTTTTGGGAAAACCAGTCCAGAACATTAATATATTGACAGGACATCATGTTGGACAATCACTGCTCCATAATAACCCTATCAACAATACAGTTGTCATGCAACATTGAAAAGTGATACAGACGTAATAGAAAGTTATCCTTAAACCACAAAAGAATTTGCTCAAACAAGTCAAATTAAGGTTCAATGGGCAGCCAAAATAAAGGAAATGCCAGTGTGTTGAGTGTATAGGTGTGTGTGTCTGCTTCAGTGTCTACATTCTGGTGAAGTGAATCATTTTGGCACAATAGTTCACCTGGCTAGACAATTCTCCTCGGCTGCACAGCGGAGCGCAAACATCTGCATGCGCTGGATATAAGCACCGGCCTGGATGGCATACGGGTCCGGCACGAGGTCCGGCAGTCCTGAGGAGACGGTTAAAGGGACAAAGGGTTTTGTAATTCTGAGATCTTTATGGTTAGAGTCAGAGTCGCTTTATTCACCAAATGTACTCAGGACTTGACTTGGGCCATAAGAAAGAAAGATTAAAGGTTAGAATGTTTATATACATTTCAGAATGATAATGCTATGCTACATTCAGGCTATTGTTTGGCAATGTATGCAAATTATTATAATGCACATTAAAAGACTAATGAATATGCTGCCTAATGCTGTGTGTGCACCTTTTGGACAGTTTACACAGTAGGCTTACTATCTCCCATATGGTGTGTGTTTCTTGCTTAGAATAATTAATTGAAATACTGTAGAGTCCAGGCTAAAAGTAAGAGCAGCTGTTAGTATTTGTTGCCATAATAAGTGTTTAATATCGCTGAGCTGCCAGACCAGGATTCAAAGCCCTAATAAGATGTTATCCCTTCTTGTAATTTAGTTGTTTCCTCTACTTGAGTGAGAAATTGATTTAAAATAACACTTGATGATTCAAACGTAAGATTTGGCCATGATCATTTGAATCCATGCAAATAAGAAGGCTTTACATGTTCCATGATTATGATACTTAACTTACCATTTTGGAAATATCCTGTACCATAACCCGTGACAGGCGGACGGCGGTTGCGGGCCGATGACCTCCCTCTGGTGGGATATGGGTTGTAGAAAACCGAATTTCTGTGGTTCTTTAATGGGTTTCGAGGGTCGTCGTTAGCCATGTTCTCTTCGTTAGCCATGTTCTCTCCGTTAGCATTTGCCTCGTTAGAACCAGCCTGACTGAGTACACTGGAAGGAGCAGGGGCTTCAGCTACCCTCTCCAGACTGGTTGGATGTGCTGAGGTGGATTGATCGGTCTGCGCGTGTTGCCTGGAGACAGCCATCGCCTCTGGCACCGCGCGTAAAGGCTGGTATTGCGCACCGGGCCCCGGATCTCCTCCTCTGGTGTACAGAGCATCCATACGACTTCTCCTCACGGGTAAGTCTCTAAATCTTCCCGGTGCAGAGACGTTGACGGTATTGGGATGTACAGGGATTGAGCGCCGCGTGGCCACATAACCTGCAGCTCCGGGAGGGCGCTGATCAGTCCTCACCTGTCTGGACTCAGCCTGTCCGGGTCTGATCGGAGTGGCTCCTCTATGGGCTCCCGGCATTTGGCTCCAGGTGCCATCCCTTCTGCCACTCACATAAACCCTCGACTGGCTTCTGGACCGAACCGGAGCATGGTACTCTGAGCCGGTGCTCATTAAACTATAAACCTGCCCGTTGTTCTCCCACTGGATCCGGTTCCGCCAGGGGCCAACTGTGCGCTGCTGCTGCTGCCCAAACATGAGGGGAAGTTGTCCATGGAAAAAGTATAAAAATAAGAGTGACCATTGTGCCATTGCAATTAAAAAACAAGTCACTCCTGTAAGTTAGTGATAAATAAGACTGTGGTGTGAATTGCACGCGCAGATGTTGCTTTGTGGAAAGTGGATGAAAAGCAGGAGTGCAGCTCTGACACAGAACACCATATCAGTCCTCAGGGGGAGAGCAGAGGAGGGCTGGAGACTTTCTCCTGCTCACTTATCGAATCCCAGTTTCTTACGCAAAGTCAAACTTTCTAGCAAGAAGATTTAACCCATGCCTCTCCGTGGCTTCGTTCTGTTACACAATACTTACACAAGGACGTTTGCTCAGTAAACTTTACGCACAGGTGTTAACTGAAGTCATCTCAATGTTAACGTTTAACCTGGATATTGGCAGGAACCAGTCCGCCCAGTAGAGGAAAATGTAAGCTTATGATCATTTGATTTCACTTAAACATCCCATCCCCTTCTACTCTTCACTTCACGAAAGAGAACAACTTATTTGGTATGACTTTAAAAATCCATTAGAGTACTTAAATAATTTAATTAAGTGCCATAAGTTCTCAGTTTATCCACACACAGTACGTAGTCATGAGATGGTAGTTTTTTTTGTATTTGTATAAATGTTACTTGTGTGACTGCCTTAGAGAGGCTGCACTGGCTTCATGGCCTCGTGCAGGACTGTTCCTTCGCCACGAGGCGGCAGGATGCCTCTGTGTGTCTCCATCCTGCTGGAGCAATCCATCATCCAGCATCATCCTGAGAGTCATGGTGCAGAAAACCAAACGCTTTTTATTGTTGATCTCATCCTTCCTGGATTCATGTTAAGTGTTAAGTGTCTAGAATATCTGTAGTTTGGTTTCCAGCTATATTAATTTGTTTTGGCAGAAATCCATATTCATCCAAGCAACTTTACTAGAAGTTCAACAAAATGCACAACTATTTTTCCAAAAGGAAAGTACATACATTTTGTTATTCATTTTTAATACAAAATAGTATTATTATTAGTGCCTGAGCTCGACAGAGTCGGTGCAAGGACTATTTGGATATTTCACTTTAGTTAAAGTATTAATACCAAAGTTTACAAATGTGCAAACACTCTGTTACAAGTAAAGGTCCTGAATTTAAAAGCATACTTAAGTAAAGCTAAATAGGTATTAGCGTCAACATATACTTAGTGAAGGTTCTAATATACAATTATAAATATAGGGAGATGTTTATGTCATGTATATATTGCTTGGTATATTTCACTGTAAGTATTAAAACAATTGATAATTATATTTAATTAGTTGATGAGTAAGTCTGTAAATAGTACAACAGTTAATCAAAAAAGCTGAATGGAGTACAAATGACAATCCTTAATGTGGCAGAGTATAAAGTACAGTAGCATGAAATACAAATATCCCAGTGAAGTCAAAGTAACTGGATGTGTTAAAAGGGGCAGCATGTTGTATGTACTGGGCCATTGAGTGCAAAAACAACCTATTAAACTCAATGTTTTTCCACGTGGCTTCAAAATTGAGATGATTCTGTTTTCAGGTAATAAACTCAGACAGATATGGGTCACGGATGGGACACACACACTGAGGCAGAGCTCAGTGTGTGTCACCTCTCTCCTGCTGTGCCGTGGTGTGTGTTTCCTCATCCAAATAGGGCATCAGGACGTTGAGCCTGCATGCTTTTCTATTCTTAGTCAAAGACACCTCCCCCTATGCCTGCTCCAAAGTGCAGCACTCCAGATTTATAAGAGCCACAGATCCTCGGCACTGGTTTGGCACAAGACTTCCCGAGCAGGACATGTAACCCACAAAGTTTAGCCAGTAAGTATTAACGTTAAATTTAGTCTTTCTTGTGTGTCTGACCTGAAAGTAAACAAATCACAACAAATGTTGCCACAAAAAACTAATCTTTACTGTGAACTATAGGGTTGCTTGTACATAAAATAAAGTTTTTGGTTGTTTTCATGGTACACAGCAGCAGCAGCAGCAGCAGCAGATCTTTCCCAGAGCGAGACACTAATTCTTTTTACGCTTTGAATATATCTTATCCCATGAATCTAGGTATCCAGCGCTCACAGCTTTGCTTCTTGTGAGATTAAACGAAGATGATGGTCTTAAAATGGTTTTACCACGAGAAAACATCCACACAAGGAATACACCTGTTTACTTCCCCTGAAGGCCTCACACTGCCAGTCTGAGGAGTTTACAACTAAATGATAAAGCCCGAGGGTTTACCACAGATCATGGGGAGACAATGCAGGTGAGATGCTGAACAAATGTGTGAAAAAACATGAACATTATTATACTGTTGTCCCTTTATGGTAGCTACTCCTGAAAGTGAGTTTTTAAATAAAACGGATTTAGTGTTTTCTTTCTTTGTTTCTTTCTAACCCGAGTTAAAATAGAAGTGTCTAATAAATGATGAATTATCTGTTATTTGACGACTGTCGATCATCAGGTTTCTTGTCACACGCGTGTTGCTTAAAGTGAATTAACCTTCACCTAGATCAGCGCGGTCAGCTCTCCTCACGTTTCAGCTCTAAGCCTCACGCTGCTCTATCTGTCTTCACGTTTTGGTTGATCTACACGTGACAAACTGATGTTCAGTGTTTTATATGTTAGCTCTTAAAAACCGTCCCGCCATTAGACCCTTTACCCAGCTTGACATGTTAATACCTCCTGATGTTAAGAGGTCATCTTGCCCCTTAAGCTTTACTGTGCGTGACTGCAGGATACTTCTTTTTCAACACTTTTTACAAATGTGTTTGTAACCAAATATCTGTGCAGACACAGAAAAGGGAGACAAAGAGTCAATGTTTGCATGTATTTTTCTTTTAGATGTGGACAGGATAAACTATATGTTTAGTTTGTATTACTTGGTCCAATACAGTCAATAAAAAATAATAATATATACATGTATGTATATATATATATATTTTATATCAGACTTATCCTAAATACTTTTTTCAATTGGCAGAAACCCAATAAAACTAGTTGTAGTTCCTAAGGACTAATATTTGTGAGATTTAGTTCAAATAATTAAAAAGGGAATAAGGGCATCCTGAGGATTTTTTGCAACGTTCACTAAGCGAGTTATTATTGGCAAAAGAAAATTGAGCAAACTATTGACTTCTATTGAGCAAAATGTTTGGACTCCACATAAAAGTGGAAGTATATCTCTTAGCTAAACTTCACATTTTCAAGGTGAGTTGATTAGCCTACTTCAGATTTGAATATCGGGGCGTTTTTCTTCTTCCAGTGCAAAAGAAAATGTTTTTCTAGGCTGTAGTTGAGCTTTTGCTTGTTGTGTACTCCCTCCTCTGCTGGCAGCATGCATGTCATTTATTTCTCTGGTGTGGGTTTTAGGTCAGTGCAGACCGATCAGGACCGAGAGCCAGTTACATAATCACAACTTTGTGACCTTTTAAAAAATGACTCAATAAGGAACATGGGGCCCACCTGTCACTGTATCTCTACCTAACATAAGCAGTATATAAACTTAGATGGGTCATAACACACTTTAATGTGGTAGCAAGCGGCTATAAGTGTTTATTTGTCAACAAATCTTCCCAGCCATAAAGTATATATAGAGTGTGTATGGTGAGAAATGTAGGTGAAAAGCATAGGGCGAGAAGAGTAGGCTTAATAAAAAACATTTTGACAATAAAATAAATAAATAAATAATGCATAATATTACATTTTCCTTGAATGAAATATTAAGATTATGGATGTATACAGTTAATAACCAGAACATGACTACACACCTGCCAACAGCTACATTAGAGTGTGTAAAACATTTAAGTAATGTTTATATAGGGCTTATATGTGCTAAATAGGGGGATTTCAGTTGTTCACAAGTGTAGTCACAGCGAGGCAGCCATAAATATTCCTGTCATACCTTCAGTGGCATTACCACAACTGTTCACATGCCTCGGGGTCCTCACTTACTCACACAGGGTCTCTGCACAGCATGTGACAGCCGCTCATCTCCTGTGTCCGCGGCCTCGCCGCCTAAATATGGACGCCACGGCTGTACTTTCGAGGTTGCCATGGCGTCAGGTGACGTGGGAGCATGAGGTTCTCGTGTTACCGGGGCCCAGCCCCTGAGTCTGAGCAGGCGGTGAAATGTGGGGTGAGTGTGTGGCAAACTGCAATTGGCTGTACACTCATTAAAAATATTCCCCTGACACCACAGACGCTAAGCCTAAATATAAACTGACGGAGCAGATCTGCTCCAGGCCCACTGCTGGCATGTAAAGACTCCCAGAAACGTATCACAAGACCCCGAACACACCCTCTGAGGCTCTGCCAGAGCACTGTGCAGTGTTCTCGCTCACAAGAAAGACAGATTCTGGAAAAGCCTAAATAACACTAAAGATTTATACACGTTCAGACTTTAAATCCCTTGTTGTCTTGGTCGTCACGCCAGTCATTGTCTTATGACTCAAGACGCAGATATGACAGACAACCCTCAAGGTGACCCTATCATTAACTGGCTTTTGATATTAAAGTATCAATAAAAGGGAGAATGTACGGCCGTGTCTCCCCTCATTTCTGTGCAGACAGTGTTGGCTGAGGGTAAGAGCGATGTGTGTGACTTTAGAAAGAACATTTTATTTTTCAGAGATGTTTGGACATTTCCGGTAAAAGCAAAAGCACTTTCACCCCATGTGATGATTAAGTTGAGGCCAGTCATTCAAAAAATAACATTTACTGAGCAGACCAACCCGAAATATTTCTTTCTATTATGAGACGCTACAGGCTAGAAAAGAGAAAGGTTACTTCATGTTAATGGATGTGTTGTTAACACAGAAGGGAAGCTTTATCAAAGCACTCTGTGGCTCTGACCTTTCTGTGATGTGAAAAGAGAATTCCCCTAACAAGGTTTACAGAAATATAATCAGATATTTTCATTTAGTGCTATGGAGGTGATCAGTTTACCCACATGTTCTTTAACCTTTTACATTACACCATGATACAATGATAGTTTTGAGTCTAGAAATTGTGGGAGAAATGTATACGTTAGCCACAAAACTC